CCTGAGCTTTGAAGACTACAGATTCATTTTGATCTGCTTTTCCTCTTGCTTGCTTGGCAATTTGAAATGTGAAATTATCTATTCTTTTCTCTTCTTTCTGCATTAACTTGCACATACTTTCAAATAGACGATACCTGTGTGGCAATATGGTTAAGATTTTAATTATAAGCATTGTTGTTTTTATCTTACTTTCTAATGCATGTAATTTAAAAAGTAACCTGTCAGCCATGCAATGTGAGTTATTATATCATGATACAAATTTATATTTATGCATGAAAAATTCATCTGTAGCAGGGTATCTTTGCCATTCTGTATATCCTTCTTATGGATATTGTTTAATTTTACCCATATCTCATATCTTAACGTACAGGTTGGTACATCAATTAATAATACCACCCCTATGGTTGTAACTATCAGATTTTGTAGTAACACATTCTTTGTTAACCAATCCTGTTTGTTTGTACTTTCCTACAATTCTTTCATTTTGTGTCCATACAAACCTCGAGATCGCAGCACGAAGTCCACTCTAAATTTTCAAGTATGATATCCATCTCCATCCTTTCATCTATTGATATTTCCAATTTCTTTCTCGAATTTTGTTTTCCGCGCTCAAACATGTGGCCTGCACTCTGGGTCCATAACCTGTTGATTTATTTTTTTACTTAAAACATGCACAACCCACACACATTTCACCTTACATTACTCACCCGAGGTCTTCTTGTTTTCATCGTTGCCACAATCTCTCGTCATTCTCTCCAGTCACAGATTAATTCGCCATTTACAGTCGAAAATATCCATCACACAATTACCGTCCAATAATAGCATGTATCAGGAGCACATAATCGAAGTTAGTAACCGATTCAAATTCAAGGCTGCTTAAAAAAACTCATTTTTCGAAATCTAGTCGTGACAGAGCAATTTCGTCTGCAAATTCTTATTCAGATAGCTAACAAGGAGAGTAAAAAAAAATTTTTTTATTAAAAAGTTTTATTTACAATTGTTTATTTACAGTGTCTTCATAGGTGAAAAATGAATATAAAATAAGAAATAGATTGAAATAACTACCAACTATGGACAGAAATCGAACCCCGGATCTCCAGCATAGGAATTTTTGAATATCACCATTAGGCTACGACTTCACTTAAAAAATTATTGAAAATAAATCTATAATTAAAAGTTTAATAAAACTTTAATCATAAATATCTAAAAAATTAATGATATATATTCTTAAACTGCGTAACGAAATCTATAAACCTGTCAACTAAATTAGTGACCCAAAGGACTTACACTCTCCCTGTGAATCATTGAAAACTACCAAGTCGTCTCACGTGGTGATACTCTTGTTTCACTTTAGGAAATTTATAACTCATTCGTTTCTCTTTGTACCGGAGGGTACAATTGGAGTAAACGGAATGAAGAAGGGAGGTTCGAAGAGTCGAGGAATTTTAGTAGGTGCAACGTGTCGTAGTTTGTAATATAATACGAGAAATCTTTGTTATTCGTTTTGGAGGAACAGTTGAACGGATTTCATCCAGAGAATTTATCACTTCACTTTTATTGCGTTCGAAATAACGAAACACTCGAGACTCAAAGAAATTAATGAAAAATTGGAAACGTGATTAATTTAATTTCCTCTAAACTGAACTTACAGAGGATACGTCAATTTCTCTCACAACGACAGTCTCGTTAATAAAATCAAGCTAAAAATAAAAATGAAGAATGATACAAAAATCGTAAACCAATGCAAGACCAAATAATTTTTTAAATAAACCCGTGTTTAACTCGTTTCATCCTCGCTCGAACAAACGAGAAGGAAAGGGAAGTGCATATCCTGTGACAATAACTCATAATCAGTTGTCCTGTAACTCGGCTGTTGGACCGCCACGTTCCAGCAATTTCGCGTCCTCGAAATGAACGATTCAATCTGCACCGGTGAGATCGCAAATTCGAGTCGTTACACGAGCCTTGTGTGCATAACTTTTGAGGCTTAACTGCAGCTTACGTCGCGAAATACGCATATTGCCTGGACGTAGGTAAGCAGATAGCTGGGAGGAGAGTAACCGGCTACTAAGTGGGCGTACAGGCTCCCACGAAGGAAGCCAACAAAAGGGCCTCGCCCTTCTAGAAATTCGACAATCTTTCATAGTCCTGTTCCAGCCGTGTATCGATAGTTTGTTAACCTCTGTTGCCTCTTTGGCCAACAATGGGATGGCGCGTAGCTCGAGCACAGGCTCGATCGGACATGCTGGAATTCTTGATGTCTGATTGGAGAACTAAGAACGATATTTGTGGCCAAAATGGAATAAGATTGGACAAAATCGAACTCTGCTTGGATAGGATATTCTATACGATTTTGTAATATTTCAGAGGATTTTCTTCGGACAGCGTGATATTGATTGTGTCTAGGTATGCTGTTAAATAAGATTTTCATGTTACTTTGATACTAAACCAAGGAGAAAGTAGTAGAATTTTAGAAAATGAAATAATGGGGGATATTGAGAGATTAATTGGATGTATATTGGAAAAAATATCGCGAAGACGAATGTGATTAAGTTTGAGTGATTAAGTTTAACTTTGAACGTGGAATTTTGGACGAAGGTTTAGAAACTGGTCGTTTAGGCTAGGGTAGGTTTAGTGTTAATCCTTGACTACTGGCATCCAGTTTTTAGACACTCGTAAGGATATCGGGGTATATCAGACTGGAAGTTAAAAAATATCGCGTAGTTGTAAAATTAATAATATGTCAATTGTTATACAGGGTGGCCCATTTAAATAACACGAGGGAAAAACAATCTATGCTTCATAAATATAAAATGCTAAAAGGATAAATTGAAATAATAAAAAACACGGGTCAACTTATTCTTCTTAAATCACATTATTTTCTGAGATTTTTTGCTACGTCGATTTACATGGGACACCCTGTATAGAAACACATACAGTTTGTTCAAGTTAACAATCAGATGTCAATTAAACGGAATCAGCCAGATTTCACATCTGTAATTTAAAAATTGAAATTTAGATACTTCGTTAATAACAAATACTCAACTTCGTATAGGAAAAAAACAATATCATCAACAAATAAAATTCTTTTTTCGTTTATAATTCAATTTCACGTCTACTATAAAATAATCGAGATAATTAAATCCAATAAATTCCAAATTTCCTCGTCTTTCGAATTACCAATTCTCGTCAATTATTATACTTTCCACAATTTATAAATCGAATGCTCAACGCAAGAATTCTAAAATTTCCTTGCCAGACCACTTCGCGGTACGCCAATAATTTCACCAGCTCGTTCAATTTCAGAATTAAATTAACAACGCAAGGAGCCTTTATCTAATTTGGATATTACAATTAGTTACGACATCGGGAATGGTAATCTCGCTTCACCTCGAACTGAAATGTCAGTTATCTGCGAGCATAGCAATAACGAACATGGCAAAGTGGAATAAGTAATTGTTTGCCACGGAATACGAGTACGCCTGTACGTTTACTTAATGCGGGTTCGAAATTGGACGTGGCTACCTTTAAATTGCAGGTGATTCGATGATTTTTAATGCGATCGGGTAATAGCATATTATGCAAATAAATTCAGATTCGGCGTGGGCGGTAGATGATCTTTTCTCTGAAGGAACGAGCACGTGATAGGGACGTATTTCGTATCTCGGGATTAGAACCGATTCCTCGTATCCACGGAGTTAAGTGCATAATGTTCCAGCCATCGAAAATAATATTCGCGATATCGAGGCTATTAATCTCGGCTAAGAGTCCACCGTTAGTTTTGCATACTGCGCAAGATTGATTTGTGCAATACCGTCGTTGACGCGATAAATTCGAGGATGCTGTAAATTTTATACAAACCTGAAACGTTTCTTCGAATTACTACCAATATAATCCTCGACTTGTTAACGAACAACGCGGATGATTTAAGCGTGTTATAAATTACGGGACTAAACATCTATGTACCAAACTGGCTGTCACTTGCAAGATAACAAGCCGAAGCGAAAGAATGTATGAAAGATAGCACATTTATGCCGATAAGTGTCGAGTTCTATTGGGCTTGCGTATATGTTGCATAGTCATTTTAATCATGAGATTACATATTCTGCGGGATGCAGAAAATCTGTAGATTTCACGCCGACTTGCACGTTTCTCGGCGTGATATTAACAGTTTCGAGAAATACAGTGCAAAGGAACCTCTTTGTTCGCTGAAAGCTTAGCTGTGTGCCACTCCATCTTCTAATTCTACGATTACCTCGAATCTAGACACACAGGGTGTGGGCAATTTCCTTTCATTTCGATATTTAAATTCATCATCAAGTTTTTCTTTGATAATGTAGAAAAAAAATTGAATTCTTTCACTGTAATCGCTGTGATAATGTGATCATGACGGGTATGACAAGTACACTTGGACTTGGGAAGCGAGTTTTCTTTACGTAATATCGAATTGAATTTTTGTAATACCAGATCGTATTAATTGGTAAGAGACGTGTTGCTAAGTTTGGTTGTTTCATTTTGGATGATAAAACAATTTTGAAGCAGTAATAATGGAATAGCATAATAGCGGAAAAGGTTAAACTAAATTATAATTTAGGGTCTATAGGGATCTATCCAAATTTCAAGCAAAATAAGTATATTAAAAGCGAGATCGAATAAAAACTCATGATAAAGTAACGAAGGAATATAGATAATATATAATTTGAAATATATCGTATTATAGAGCAGTGATACGATACAATGGTATCGAATAAGGGTTCTTGTGAAAGAATAAAATGTGTTGAAAATTATTGCACTGAATTAATGACTACGTGGTTGTTAAAGGACATGGCCCTTCATATTCATATATGGTATGAAAAGAAATGAAGAGGATATTGGAAAAATGACGCTAGGTGTTACTAAATAGCGAAAGTCTGTGCAATGATCGTGCCAGAAGTAAAAATGCAAACGCATAACTCGAAGATCATAAATCGACGTTAATTTTTTCCTTTTTATTCGCACAGAAGGAGGATGAGACACAGAAGGCAGTAAAGCTGACGATGAGGGAACGAAGATTTATAGAATTTGCATCGGTGGAATATGACGGGCAACTGTACATGACGCCTCAGGACTTCCTCGACAGTGTTGTTGAACCTGAACCCAGGCGTGAGTATTAAATAAATTTGCAGAAGCTGTAATAACTACGTCAGCTCGCGATAATAACTCGCTTTGTCTTCGATGACAAATGCTCTCGTAACATGCGCGATTCAAGATCGCGGATAAAATAGCGAAAGCTAGTAGCATTTCTAGTAATCTGTTAACACTCGTTAATACTCGTTAATATTCGTTAACATTTTACTACAAAATTCGTGTCATTTTTATTTGGTTGGAATTTATTAAAAAATATTTCATTTTGAAGTGTCTTTGAAAGTAAACGAATAACGTCTATTTTCGTGATACTTAAGAAGATATTTCAAAGATATGATATTCGATACCATTAGATATTTTTATTTCCAGTGTGTTTAACATCGTCCTAAAGCATTAACCATCTCTCTAAAATCAAATTTCATCCACAATTGTATAATTTCTCTTTTCCTTTTTTCTTTCTCAAATGTATTATCTTAATGTTCCTCGAGAAACATTGTACTCTCATTTCGTCGCTGAATCTACCACCGTGTATACTTCGATCGATCTTCCCATACCCCGAATACCACCCATTTCTTTAACCATAAAAATCACGAGCCAAAAATAAAAAGAATTCATGGATGTTCTATTTTAACGCGTTCACTTCGACGCATATGTCGACCTACGAACAGAATAAACATTCTAAGCATAGGAGTTTATACGCCTTTTTCACGGTCCTTTGATGCACTCTGCCTTCTCAAACTGGCAATGACGGTGCAGTGAAATCGCGGTCCCTTGATCGGCCAGAATAATATAAATAAATAAATTTCGGTGATATTCCAGCGAGGCTGAAAAGACGCGTGTTAAGTGACAAGGAGCTGGAGGTGACGAGAGAAACCATCCCCTCGCTGTCCCATGGAAATCCACATATGTTCAGGAACCTACGGGACAAAGGTGAGCAGTGAAAAAATAGCGTCTCCGATTTTTACACCGCCCCCACGAGGGAAAACTTTAACGACGTTAGTTTGTATACAGAATCACAGCGACGAACGTGTCTGTCGAACCTCCAGTCAGTTTCTCGAGCATGCAAGTATTTCTGTGCAGCTGAGACCGAACGTTGCACTGACAAGGAGAGTGCAAGTCCTTCGAGTCATTTAGTCATCCAGTTCAAGAAAATATATCATTATAAGGGCAACTACTCAATAGTTTTTGAGATATTTGTGATTAAAGCCTTATTATTCTTAATTAGATATTTTTTCCGAATAGATATCGATAGTTATCAAGTGGCATTGTGGCCTAGATCTACAAACTTGCAAAGTTTCAACTAAATCAATGAGCTGAAGGACTTGCACTCTCCTTCTGAGACTATCTTAGCTCATAATCGAGGCTCACGTTCGAATACTTTTTCCAAACCTAATAGACGAAACGAAACGAGACAAAATGGGATAAAACGAGAGCGAACATCAGTATATGTACACGGTATATGAAAAACTTAGGAATTAAGATTGATTCGTTCGATTATAGATCGACGAGATCTCATTAGGCTCTACTGGTTGGATGCTGGTTATGACAAATGGCTGTACGTTTATTTTTCAGATCATTTTAAACGAGGAATAAAAGCTACCACGATATTTCATATTCTATCCATCACGTGGTCCATCCTGTTTATTTGTTTGAAGTGACTTTAGTGCTAGCTCCATTCGTCTTAACTTCTACATGTCACTTGCGGAACTCAAGCGGAACCCATTTGTCCACTTACTTTACTTTCCCTATTTGCACCAAGTGGCGAATAATTGCAGAATAACTTAGTTTCGTTTTAAATACTATCTTTCTGACACTTTGGCCTGAATTGTCCGTGATAATCTCTTTTAAAGTGTCATCGTCGATGAAATTTCCTGGCCTTTCTCTTCGCCTCTTTGTGAATGAAATCATCGATGTGGAATTTTAAGAAGAAATCCTAATATTTATATAGGCTTCCTTAACGCTAAATCTGTGATGGCCGCAATGGCCATTTTTGAACTTTTAATTAAAAATTCTACATCTTGCGTTATTAGGTTCGTCACCCGGCACGTTTTCGCATTCCATTTTTTCTTTTAAGATTCGTACGTAATCAACTTCGTAAACCAAATGACTGGTTGGGCAGGTAAAGTGCCAAATTTTGAATTAATACTTTCAGCAGCTTCGTGTTTTAATATCCGATTAATGAAGTTTTAATAATTTCGTAATAACGCTTCTTGATATTCAACACGCGTGCTATAAGAAACTTGTTCTTAACGTTACTTCCTATAACTGAATATGGGATGAAATTAAAAGAAAATCGTTCTCCTTTATTAACTTTAAATTAAAAAGAGGGGGAAAAAGGAACACATTTCACGTGCATCGACTCGGCATCTTGAATATTTTTCTAACATCTTCAATCACTTGCTATTGAATAATTTACTTCTATTACTCAAATAATTGGTTATTTAATCTATTATTTTAATTATTTATTCATTTGAAATATTATTACCGGTGGAATTTTCTTCGTTTAATTTTCGCTTCCTCTTTTCGTATTTTTCAATGGAACATCGTCAGTGTTGAACTCCAGAAACTAACACTGGTCTATTCAAACATTTACATAAGCTTCTTTGAATATTAAATTAATCCTTTCAGCAGTTCCAAGTTCGAACATTCACAAAAATGTTCCTTTAATATCTCAAGAATGAAATTTTAATCTTATTACGACGCTTCTTGATATTCAAACGCATTATGAGGAACTTCCTCCTTAACGTAACTACCAACCACTGAATATCTTAAATATATTTTTAACATTTCATGGTGTATTATTTGCAATAATCTCTTTTAGAATATTATTATCAACAAAATTTTCCGCCTTTCTTCTTCGTTTACTTTTTAACATGCCATCGTCGCTGTTAAATCCTGAAAATTAACATTAATCTATCCTAATAGTTGCCTAAGTTTCTTCAAATATTACACAAAATTAATCTTTTCCGCAATTTGAAGTTTGAACATACGCAAAAATATTCTTCCAATATTCTAATAATAAAATTTCGATTCACAGAAATATTCTTCCAATATCCTAATAATAAAGTCAGATAACCTTATTCCAATGCTTCACGAGTCCATCTTAAATAACTATCTAACATTTTATCACAAATTATTTGCAATAATCTCTATTGGGATATTACTATCGGTAAATACTTTTGCCCCCCTTCTTCATCTATTTTTCAATGAAATATTATTAAATAAATTCTGAAAATTAACACTGATTCTAATATTTCCCAATGGTTTTCCAAAGGTCCACCAGTTTTAAATTGAAACATGCACAAAAATATTTAATCAATACTCCAATAATAACCTTCTAATCCCACTAGAACGTTTCTAGATTCTTTACGATTATCTAGATTTATGAGTTCTTGTATTTCGCAATGAAATTCCGAAACGTGCCATCCGTGCATTAATTCGAAAGCTGAAAAACAACGACGTTGTACACATGCATAAACTCAACACGTTAAATATAATCTCCATCCCGGAATAGAAAGGCCAATTACTCCGCTTTGCATTTAATCGACTCGATTAGTATCTGCGAATTTTTCCTGCCCACTAGTCACGTGCAAATACGAGAGAAAAATCCGAGATTGGAATTAAACGATTTAGATTGGACTTGCGTCCCTTCTCGAAACTTTCCAAGCTGCCTGGCCTCGTGATACGAGGCTCTCGGTTCCCGTCTTGGAGATCAGTAGAGCAATTAATCCCACCACCCTTGCGACGGTCGAAATAACAGGGCTGTGTCGTTAACGAGTCAGCGGTGCAGCTGGTTCGAGCCTCTTCCTTGCTTTTTCTGCGTTCACCGCACGTTTGTCGCGCTAATGGAAATGCAAATAATCGCGCATGGAGCCAGTTTCACACTTCCCTCTAATAAACGAGTTCCGTCGCTCTCTGTGTATCCCGCTTTCTCTTTTTCTTTCGTACCATCGTTTCGTCCAGTGTTGGCCGCGTGTTAGTGAGCCCAGAATCTCAGGGGCCTAATATACGAGGCATCTGGCCCTATCCACTCCGGAGGTGCACTCATTGCAGGATTATGGTACTGAGGACGGTACTAAGTGCTGCATGGCGACGTGTACCGAACAGAAGTCGCGTTCCGATACCGCGTATGAAACGATTCCGAGGCGTGACTAAATGGAATGCTTCCTTATTGCACGAACGTGCACCGAGTAAGCACATCGTAGCGGAATACGCTTGTGGAATTTTATGAATGAAGCGTCGCGCGCAAGTGGTTCACGCTAAGTGGTATATCGTTTTGCAGAGAAGAAAAATATTTTTATTCTCTTTCTTTCGTTTCTTGGTCTTTTTGGTCCATCGTAGAGAACAAGGTGTGAAAGGGTATAAATGGAGTCGCGTGAGCAGGTTGGCCGAGTATGATACGAGTTTCTAGGCCAGCTTTTTGCAGTTGTAAGACGTAGCGGTGGCGCAGTAGTGCATTGCGAAGTTTTATGAATGAAGCCGGTGTGAATGTGAAAGAGCTGAAAGACATCTTTTGCTTTATGCAAAAATTGTACACAGTGTACAAAAATATCTTTGGATTTTGAGGATTACTGATCGAATTCAAAGTCAAAATGATAGAGAACAATTTTTAGCTACTCTTTCAGCAAACAGAGATTCATATTATGGAATATATACAATTTCGATATTTCATGAAGTAAAAATAAAGGGTAAATTTACATCAATCTTAATCTAGCTTAATTTACATAACAATGAATGTGTAGTTCTTAGCTTGGTATCGTTTCCCAAAAATTGGCCTTTGGAAAACGATATCAATTACCAGGTCTCACCACGTGGAGGTGGCTACGCATCGAGACCCGGACATGCGCCCTAGTGGCGCATCCTACTGGCGCTACCTGTATCAAAGGTATACTAATCTAACTTGGAGCGAATGAAGTTAAAGTGAAGCTACTGACACTTTATTAAATATCGTATCTTATAAAAGAGACGCGATTATTCAAAAGATCGACTAGCCTACGCGACGTACTCCCGCGTACAAGCAACTTCACACCTCAGCACCCTCCCGATCGGGCCCTGCCCACCCTGCCACCGCCGACCTCGCCATGGCTTACTCGATGATCTAAGGCAGCCAACGAACCAGTGAAACATCCAGAGGCAATCCGAGGGTCCTATGCGAGGCCTAACAGTCGGAATCACGCGCATGCTCCATACCCCGGCTCTATGCAAACATAACCACATAGCCACCAAGTGCTAGAGGGGCAGGCAGGCACGTTCTTGCAATGATTCCGACTGCAGGGCCCATCCCCCGGTCGTGTGCACGGATTGGCACCCAGGACGACTAAGGTCGACGGACCCTCGTATTTCTCCAGATGCCTCACCAGCCCGAGGGCCACCAGAGACCCCGATGCATGACGAGATTGACAGTGGCAGAAATGAGTGTCGGAGACGAGCCGTGAGAATGACTTACGAGGCGTGGAGTTGTCGAGAATTGATATATTTCGCTCCAAGTTAGGTAGCTTACCTTTGTACAAATAGCACGCACATGAGACTTAGTCTAGGCATCTACCTTATAACTAGTTAGGTCTACTTAGGTCTAAACGCACGCATCCCACGTCGTCCAACGATGTCTTAAAAAAAATGAAAGCTGAAAAAGAAAAGGTTAGTAAATGATTAGTAAAACATAATAAAAGCGAAACAAATATAAACCATAATGATCAATGAAATGGAATAAACAATCCAACGGTGAGACATAAATAAACCAACCATGAGAAATAAATAACCCAACGATGGGACACTCGAATATTATACGAAATATTCGAAATGTCAAATAGAAATAAATAGAAAGGAATAAATAACATCTGAAAAAAGAAAAAATAATTAAAAGCTGAAAAAAGGAAAAATAATTAATAACTAAATAATAAATAAGTAAAAAGCTAAAATGAAAAAATAATTAATACCTAAAAACAAAATAAAAATAATTAGTAAATTGTTTAATGGGTGGGGGTGAGGGTGGGGGAGCCAACCCCAACCTCACTTCGAATCCCCACCCTCGCACACAACAAAAATTTAGATGTTACACTTCTGAAGTTGAACCGACAAATGAGTTGTCCTCCTTTGCGTCGCCCCTTATATAGCCGTCGATCGGCCGAGCCCCCCCACCTCGATTGAAAATTTTTGAACTTTACCGATTTTATTATTTATTACTTTTTCGTTTTAATAACCAGTAATTTTTTCATTTTTTCATTTTTATTATAAATATGCGTTGCGAGCAATTTGTTATTAACAATATTAATTTGTTATTAACAATAAGTATGATAATTTATCAATTTTATTTATGCTTTTGGAATATAAATTTCCGTGATCCATTTATATGGAGTGTTTGTATTACTTTCTAGCAGGAGAATATATACGTGACAAAAAAATTAGGTTACTCAATGGTCAATAGTGGATTAAGGATAGTCAAAGTATTAAAAAATTAGACGTATTATCTAATAAATAATACTTGTTAAACTTGTAAATAAGATCAATAACATTTACGTAGAGTGTCCATAGGTAGCACTTATGTTCGCATTTGAATATTTTTCAAAATCGCAAATTTTCGCAAAGTCAAGCAGCTAAGTAACATAAAGTGACAACGTTGAATACAGAATTTTAAATCAAAAGTTTAAAAATGGTCATTCGAACCGTGATAGGTTTAGGAATGTACCGCCGAAATAATTCCACCGAACAAATCGTTCAGAAAATTTCTCCAAACGTCTCTATCCCTTCCCAAAAATCACTGAATCTTCCAAGGACCGTTTCCGAGAAGCGATCAGTTTCACCAACCGGAATTTCTCTTTCTAGAACAATCCTAAGAAAGAAACGTGGCGTGAGCGAGCATCATTCGAACCAATGGTGGACTCCGTGCCGAGTTTTTCTGATGTTCGCCGACCTCGGTCGGCGAACAGCTTCATCCGGGGAGGGATTTTAATCTGAAATCCCCGAAGGAAGAAGAGAAACGGTACGTCGACAACGACCGGGTGGAGCTTTGACGTCGGCCGTTTCCTTCCACCCACTTTCTTCGTTTTCCGCTTCGTAAACTTTCCCGTTGGCTTTCATAGCTGTGAAAGCGTTTTATGGAGTGCTTATGGCACATAAAATCTATTCCGTAGTCACCCGACACAAAGCTGAGAAAACGCGCAGCCCACGTGGTGGAGGTTGACGCGCGGAGTTAGGGTAGCGGGCGCAGTGGGGACAGTGCGGTCTCCTAACGAAGATGAAAATTTAGCCTCGACGAGGGTGTCTCTTCGGGTCGCCGTTAAAAGTCTGAGTTATTGGCGTTTCTCAAAGCTAGAAAAGGGATGGTCGGAGAAATGCCTGGCACGTTATGGGGCGTATCTAATGTCGTTCGTAGCTACCTCATCCCCGATGCCGTTTGTGGCGACCTGTTACGCTTAGATCACGGGTTAACGCGATTATCGGTGGAAATTAGTACGGGACCTTATCCGTGGAGTCGTCGTAAACAAAACCAGGAGGGACCAGTTCGCGTACGATACATCATTTTCCCATAAATGGATTTATTCTCGAACGGGTACCGATCCCTGTCCCGGGGGCCCGGCTTCTTTCAGATCGACCGGATCGGGCTGCCACGCTGGCACACTCGTAATGAAATTTAACGATCGTAGAGTTAGTTTAGCCGTTTAGGCGAGATTCGGAGGCGGAGATTAGCTAATGAAGGGAAATGATTTCAGCTCCGGGTCGTGATTTTTATGGAACGATTGATCATTCCTGGTTCGGTACTACAGGTCTCGGAGTCAATATTTTTATTTTGTATTTTAGGAAAATATTTTTGTGTTTTATGGGGTACTGGAGGAGTAAGCAATTTGGGGAAATGTTGAGGAAAGTGTGGAATTCGTGATTAAATGTTTGATCGAGTTTTCTTTATTTTTCCTTTGAAGAATTAGCGTGAAAATTAATATTTCTTTTTAAGAAATTCGCGATGGTATTCGCGGAAATTTATGAAAATGTGTAATAATTGTTTTTCTTTGTTTTTATAGGAATTATTTCGTATACGGAGTATCTGTTCCTCTTGTCAATCTTAACCAGTAAGTATCGGCTGATTTTTCTCTTTCTCATTTTATTCTACACGTTATATTTTATATTATATATCGAATAAAAAATAATGCGGAATTATATTGCAGAGCCTAAATCAGGTTTCCGAATCGCGTTTAACATGTTCGACACAGACGGAAATGAACGTGTGGACAAAACTGAGTTTCTTGTGGTAAGATATTTTATTTCATTTTACAGATTAAAAATCATTTATATAGGTACTTGTGGTAAAAGTGCTTGCAATAAAATATAAAGAGAACTATCAATATTGCTCGACAGTTTTTGTGATAAAACTATTATCCAATGATTTTGGTGCAGATTGAATTACTTTTTTTAAGTAACAGAAGTTTCGCCTTCATAAGTATATAATTTATTTTACTATATTTCTATTTTCAATTTAGTTTTTATATTTTTCAAGTTGGTTTTGTTTTAAAATAAATAAAACTTTCCTGGGGCCACATGTTTAAATTAAAATGACGATTTAAAAGTGGTAACTGAAAAACGTAAATCAAATTAACAAGAATTAAGTCTAAACGAATTAAAGATAAAGATTATATAGAAACTTCATCTTTCTATTATAGGTTATAAACAAAAGCAGGAAATAACAAATATTTTCTTTAAAAAAAATAATTTTCTAAACCTTCTAATTTCAGATTAACATTATACTTCAATCAAGCAAAATCTCGAGACAAATGAATTTCGTAAAATTTTAATTTCTTAACAATTTATTCATAACATATTAACAATAAGCAGTATAATTTTTGTATCTTTCTTAAATAGAACGAAAGAACTCGACGACGAAATAAGAGAAACAAAATATATAAAATATAATACCTTCGATTCGAATATGCAGCGACTTTAAACTCGCGGCTATTCGATCAGTGATCTCGCCATGAAAATAAATCGCGTATTCCCAGAAACATGGAAAAGTCACATGATCAAGAAGATGTGGAGGGACATAACACGCGACGGGAGTAGAATTTGCCAATTTGCACGGATGCGTTTGTAATTTTCACAGATTCGACGATTGCTCGGCGGGAACCTGAAGCACCGGGATCTCGACGATGAAACAAAACGTGCAGTGAGTTTTAATATATTCATGGGAAAAAAAAGAAAACAGCGAATCTGACCGGTGTTCGTTGCAATCTCGATCACCAATGCGCGATTCATTTTATTCGCTTGTGATCGCAACCAGCCCCCAAACAGCTGTGGGCCTCTGACATCTAACGAACCTGCTTGATAATGTTATTAATTCGTACCTTCATGAATATCTAACATCCTCTTTCGGATAAGACGATAATTCTGCTTCCTTCGTTTTCCATATATTTTCTTTATTTTTATTATTTCTTTTTCTCGAAATTTAAAATTTTCAGACTGTAAGCTCCGTATTGATATTAACGAAATTATGATATAAATTACAAAACCGGCAGAATAATATTTTTAATCGATTAAATGAATCTTTTATTATTTTTTAATTTTTAATTTTTTATATTTTTTATTTTCAAGATTAATAAATTAATTAACCCGCCAGTGTTCAGTTCTAATATAAATTCATTTATCTCGCATTATTGCTTGTTTCTTTTAATTCATTTTCCGAGCAATTTGAAAAATTGTGCAAAATTGCACTGTTTCGTTTTTTTTTTTCCTTAATTTCTTTTTTTATCGTGCCGTTTTTGTTCGTGTATCTTCGTTCATGATTTTGCTTGATCATTTCAAATTTGCTGAGGCTTAAGTTTGTATTTTCTATGTTGTTTTTTACTTTGCCAATTTAGTTGTTAGTCGAAGTGTCATTGATACGTATCATTGTTTCTGTTCGATGTACCAGTTGAAACACATAATGCTACCGAACGAAAAGATCATTCATAAACCGAAACTTCGTAACGCCCGAGAAGAGAATGAGAAAAATCAACTTTTCCCTCACTCTTACGTAAGTTGTTGAGTCATGTAACTTGGAGATGCGCGTGATTATTTGTTTGTATCTTACTGGTGTGAGTTTTCATTTTTTTATAAAATTCCACGAGATCCTTTTTACTAATTTTTATAAAATTACCAATATAGAAATAAAAAAGATTTTTGATTTTATTTTCGTTTAATAATATCGTATTTATATGTTATGATTTTCTATGGTAACATAGTACTATAGAAAATAATTTTAACCGATGACATAAAAGCTACGTAATTTAAATAATATTTAAAATATAGATTCTATTTATAAATTTATGTAATAAATTAACGAATAAAAGATTTATACGAAAGACATCCAAACGTATCTCGACGAAATACTTGGCCGATTAAAATTTATAACTTTTAAATAAAACATGAGACTGGCATTAAAGTTGAACTACTTATAAAGCATCGTTGTGATTCATAAATAGAATTCACAATTTCAAATTTTAACCGCGACTCCGAGTTAAAAAGAACCGTTGAAATAATTAATTACAATTTATAAACGCGTCGATTTAAACATGACATAATATTCAATTTAAATTAGTACCTAAAAAAATGATTCTCTGAATCTTAAACGCCAGAAATTAAGACAAGTAAAATTTCATTTTACATCATTTGATAATTTATTAAAAATTCTGCATGTTACTTTAATTTATTTTTTAATATATAAAATATAACTGTCGTGATACTAATCATTACATAACAATATCTCAATGAAGATGATGTTAGGTGAGTAAATATTAATTTCTGCCAGAGTAACATAAAATTATACCTTATGTCTAACATTGCTTTCAAGCTTGGAAGCAAAATACCACGTGTACGACCATACGAACATGCTGCACTGTACAAAATCATTTTTATTGTGAATTCTAACTTTTAATCAGAGAAGTGACACATTTGCCTCCATATTAATCTCTGCTATGCTAACTCTTGCTATTTATTTCAGACACATCATGCAAATCCACCTGTACGTTCTGTCACGAAGGTTTTATGTCAGATTCCAACATAGAAATTTGATTAGATTTTACTTTTTTTCACATAGATGGAGAAGGTTTTCAGTCATGCCTGGAGAGGACGCCATGGTGCGGAAAGCAAAGAAAAATTGACCGAAAAGCAGACGACTCCTGAGGAAATACAAGAACAGTATATCGACGATGAGCAGGTAGCAATCATTATGAAAGATATAGAAGTATGTAGAGTAAAGAAAGTTGGGACATAAAGTAAGCAATAGGATAAAAGATTGGTTAAGGATAGTAGATGGAACAATTAGAAAAATAAAAGATCACAGGATAAACGTATGTAATACATTTACATAAAAATATGTAAATGTATAAATTAAGAAATATAAATAAAACATAATGTAAATCATTATAGACTTGGATAAAGAATTATTATATTATATAAATTATGAATACTTATATGTTATTATATCATATAAATATTACATTATATTCAGGTATCTAAAGATTTATCAATATTTTTAAATATCTTTACTCTTACTAAAGATATTTAAATTAGCTATTTAGAAACACTTTTATCCATTATTATATGTACAGCAAAGAAGTATTACTTATGATTAAATGTGTGAAGTATTAGCCAAAATTAAAGTAAATGAGACTTAGGAAATCTTGAAATAAAAAATGTTGATTGTTGCTGTGTCTATTTGCACATAAAAAATAAAATTGTCAACTACAATAATGTCATTTGCAGGGGTTGCAACGACGACATGCAGTCGATACGACTCTAATGATACACTTCTTTGGGAAGGATGGAACCAACCAATTGAAGTACGAAGATTTCAAGTGTTTCATGGAAAATCTACAGCATGAAGTTCTAGAACTCGAATTCCACGAGTTCAGTAAAGGCCGCGAGACTATATCTGAATTAGATTTTGCAAAAATCTTGCTACGATACACTCATCTGGATACCGACGAGTATGTTCGTCATTTCTCTAATATAAAATTTCTCCTGCTACATTGTACATAATATAGTATTAAATACATTGTATCTCTTATGATTTTTAAAATGAAGTAAAATATTTAACCAATAAGAATTATTTAAAATGAGAATTTTACTAATTACTTGAAATTTGGAATAATTTGTATAATTGTCTGTTTGCAGATACGATAAGTATTTGGATAGAATACTAATAAACGCAGATCTACAAATAGGCATCACGTTCGAAGAATTTCGACGTTTTTACCAATTTCTGAACAATCTCGATGACTTTTCAATAGCCATGCGAATATACACCCTGGCAGATCAACCGATATCGAAAGGTTTCAGGATAATTTCGTCCCTAAAAAGAATACTTCAAATACACACTATAAAAGTAAAATTTTATATATACCATAAAATTTTCTTTCCAGATGAATTCCAACGAGCTGTAAAATTTTGTACAGGGAGCGTGCTCAGCGATCATATTATCGATACTGTCTTTGCACTTTTCGACGAAGATGGCGATGGCCAGTTATCCTACAAGGAGTTTATAGCGATAATGAAAGATCGACTGCACAGAGGTTTCAAGGTACTAGTTGAAAAACTAGTTTCCTTCATTTTTAAACGTATCATGCTTGGTAATAAATGCCCCTGACACACTGCAATCGGTGCGGGAATACTTTAATGTGTACACAGTTGCCATTACTCACTGGACTAAATGTTCCGGGCTCCATAAAAATAATTCTCGTGTATTAAAATTTATAAGTGTACATAATTATGAAAAGAAGCGTAGAAAATACTCTTAAAAAAATGCGAAATATTGAAGGCATAAATAATTATTATTTTTAAAAACAGAACACTTTGTAATCATGGCCAATTGTTTTAATGATCGTTGTACGTACAACGATTAATTAATAATCGTATGCTTTTTTTCTGTTCCCATAATACAGTCTCAACAACGGCGCAAGCATTTACAAGCATTTACCTCCTGTGTAAGGCAAGAAATGAAATCGCATTAAATGGCATTAAGTGGATGGATGAAAACGAAGGCCAAAATAAACGTGAAGCGTCCAAGGATATAAAGTGCAAGTTAAGCCTTGGCTCGTTTTCGAATCCTAGTCCCAGTTCATTAATATTATTGTGATAATTCTATTTCATCGCTACGACTTTAAATCTCTACCTCTATTTACCGTTTATTTGTCTTGTCACGTTCTTCTTCTCTATCTGCGTGATTGCTATGATACGACTCGAATAACTAACTAGTCTTGGCAGGTAAATAAAACTACCGATATCAACGATATTTTTGATTAAGTATTAACTTAAATCTATTAATCTGTTGACCATGCGTGAACGAATGATTGTTAACTGTTATACAATGTGTATTTGTCTTTAAATTAATGGTCTTGCGATACGAAATCTCGTGTACTTAATTATAATTTATATTCACATTTGAACTTGATATTGTTTGTGATTGAACTAGTATTTTGTAACGAATTGTCGGTGAATTTATAATTTATTATATTATACTGTTATATTTTATAAGAGCAATATTATATTAATAACGCAAAAATTTAATGAACGTATTTGCTTGTTGGAACTAACGAATCATTGTTTTCTTGCAAATTGCTGTTTATTATAAATTACAATAAGGGAGAATATTCCTTTGAAATAGACAATCCATTACTTTATTTATGATTGTTCCTAACATTAATGAATTTGAAATTTACGTCACTGATATTGTTAATTATTCTACTGATATATATTTTTCTAAGCAATTGTTCTTCGAAATTTCTACACAACAAAATGTAATATATAGAGAGAAGTTAATTATATATTAATTTTCACTATTACCAAATTTAATACAAGATATGTATGTAGTAAGTCAACTCCAATTATCACTCTTCTTCAGTGTAACATAATTTATCATTCGAATCACGATAATAAAGAACGATATCTTTACATCTATAGAAAATGTAATAACTCTTATTCCTCGATATTAATTCATTTTTGTTTCAGCAACAAATGTCACCGTATCTCCCACAAGTGGCAAACAAACCGACAAACTAGAGATAATATTTTTAATGAAAATATTAAAAAAGACAAATTTCGTAATTCTTATTTATAGTATAGTATAGGGTATCAGAGAATTCGTGGTTTAAATAATTATAAGTTCCTCTGTCATACACCAGCAATGAAGCTACACTTTCATTCCTACATTGTAAAGTGCCATTCCTCCCACGTGCACCGCCAATGGCCCAGTTCTCTCTTTTTGCCGCAGACTGCACGTAGTAATTGTTGTTTGTTATCACTCATCACACTGATTGCCGTCTGCTGGTCTCATGAATTGAGCCAGCGAAAAGAGGCACGTCATTACTCGTCCCAACGGCCTGACATCAAACGAACTTCATCGCGGACAATGATTCCGCAAAAGCTTCCTAGTTCCAAAGCAACAAGCATCGTCTAGGAATGCAATTCCCAAACGAGTCCAAAGCGGTTCGGTTTACAACTCTAATTGTCAGGTTGATTGTTAAAATGCCTTTAAATCGGTGATCTCTGAGCATGTGCATCGTTTTTGAAGTAACGTCACACGTGATGTCTGTCATAGAATAGGTGTGACGAGATTGAACATTGATTCGATCGTATTTCTACTGATTGCAAATTTTGAAATTTTGTAGTATAGCGAATACTCTGTAAACGATTTTGACAGAATCAGTCATCAATTCTATAGAATTTCTATAAATTACAAATTTTGAAATACAGAAAATTATATAACAGTAATTATTTTCTGACAGATTCAAAATTATTATTTTCTTACAATATATTCTAAAAAGAAAAAAAAAATATCGTGAGCAAATTGGAAGAAAATTGATCGATCCCCTAATTCGATAATCTTCGCTACTTCGATATTATGCGGCATTCGCTAAAGACTATTATTAATTTTGAGTTTCAAACCTCGTGAAGGTTTGTAAACCATCAGTTGTTTATTAGAAGGATATTTTGAAATCAGTTTTTAATTTAAATAGATGTGATCAAAATAGTCATCAACCTAATCTTGTATGTATAGGTTGAAATTTTAAAATGTTGATTCTTTATACAAGTTGTTTATCGATATGAATTATCGGTTTATGAATTATTGTTCTTTTACTCTACGTTCTAGAAACTATATTCTTAAACACTACCAGTTTTGCTAGTTCAATAATCTTTTCAGTAATGCTTCGATACCATGGTTCACAAACGATCGCTTGTTTACTTCGAGAATATTTTCGAGCCAATTTATAAATAGATCATGATAAAGTGCAATTATTTAAGACAATCAAGGAATCATCTAACGGCTAAAAATAAGGCCAAGCATCAAAGACGAGGAAGATGTGCCCGTCTTTTCCGGATCCATCAAAAAATTGGTAAGATAACATCTTGAGAAAAATAAATTTCAGTAAATCATCTTACTATTCTGATTATTATTATTATTATCGCATGATATATTTCGCTTTTCGAACCAGGAAATTAAATTTTGGCGAGAGAAGAAGAAATCCAAAATGTTTCAACGAATACGCTTGTTTATAATACGACCAAGGAACCTCGGGGCAGAGGCTACGAAGAACTGAAAACACTAGCCTAAGTTCGCTGAAGTCAAAAGTTGTTGTCAAACTCGAACATGCTGGCTGCGTCAGGTTTTGGCCATGAGTCGTATTTCGACTTGTTCGACACGATGTCGCATGTCCTTCGCGCAAATTCTTAACATTTAAATTCTCATTCTCGACGAAGACTCTGTTTTATTGTTATGACGACTAGCGAGGAATTCAGATAAACGTGAAATTGTGACACGAAACTGTTAATTTGACGAATTTGTAACGAGACATTTATTAAAATTGCAATTTGTCATGTAACGAATGAGAGGGATCGAATACAGGTTTTATCGTACAATTGCTCCAGGACGAGTTTCAGGACGAGCTTGAAGGCGAAAGTGAAGATGATACATATATTCGACTGGTGGAGGTAAGCTTATTATTGTAATGGTAGGATAGGTTGAATATGAAAGTCTGACACGTGAAAAATTCCATCTGCATGATACATTAAAAGCGCAGTTAAATTTAATGAAGATAATGCGACTTAACGAGTAGTCAGTGATAAGTGATTGAAAATTAATTCGATGTTATCGGTGCTTTAATTGCAAATGAAACGTCAATTTGTTATTCTAATACCTTATGAAAAGACAAAGTTCAGCCCTTCATGTTGCTCTGGATTAACGATCGATTTGGTCGTTAATATATTCAGAAATTAAGTCGTTATTTCGATATTCTATTATACGCTACGCGCTTATTGTTCGTGATAGAATTTAAGAAACGAAATAAACATTTACGAATTTCTTTATATTCTTTATCTTCAAAGATACATACACTTATTGGTGAAAGTTAAGAAACAAAATAACTAATTTTTTAATATTCTTTGAAATAATATATTTCACGTCGATAAAGGTAACTTTCTTCCAATCTCTTGTATAAAGCCAATGTTTAATTTTACTTAAAATTATATTGCACATCGGAAAATAAACAATATACAAAAATTCGTAAATCATTTCTTTGTTTCTTAATTTTTATCAGTAAGCATACGTATTAAATTCTTAATGCAATTAGAAGCCAAAGAATGAGTTCAAACACTAATTATTGAAATATGTATATTTAGATAAGAGTGTGTAACTTGCAGAATACTAATTTGCCATTTCTAATTTATTTTTAAACTTATTTTAAGTTTTCTGTCCACCGTAACAAGAGAATTTATTTTCAAGCATATTTTAATTTCTACCTGCCAAATTTCAAAATTTTTAACAGAAGAAGCATCACTTTCTAAGTTTGTTGCAAGATAATCGAACAGATCTTTTTATTTCGCACAGAAAACGATTAAGTAAACTCTAAACTATGTACATATTATGAAAATCATCCACCTTTTCTAAGCTCAAACACATCAAAAATTACTATCTTTAGAATATTTTTGTAAAGATAGCAGAACTGATCATAAACCTAAGATAATGTAAACCATGGTTAATATTCCACTGTATTAACTGCCAGACCCATTACACGGTGCCCATACACATGTAACACACGCACACATGATATAAATTTCAAGAAACACTGAAACTACGGAGAATGCTTTTATTTCTGTACAGTACGATCAACGTTAAATTTCTCAAAAAATAATTTCCAATACCCACAAGGGAAACAAAACCCAAAGCTTACGAGTACCCCCCATAACAACTTTGGTCTTCCAAGAAACCCCTAAATCCGAAGCAAAACCTTCGTAAATTTACCTAAGAACAGAACACATCGCATCGAAACACAACATATCACTGCGACGCAAAATTTCGTCGCATTCTTGTTGAAGCGCAAGAAACAAAGGTTTTCTCTCAATTACGATAGACTCACATAACGCGACAAAAATATTGCGACTTCTGTTTTCATATAACACAATTCTCCGTTCAACGCGGAAAATAATAAAACACAAGAATTACCGGATAACGAAAACTATTTTCCAATTTAACAAATTCAAAGAAAATATATATAAATTTGTATAATTACGCTTTTATTAAATTTCAATGAAATAAAAGATTTTTCACGTGCATGGATAATACGCCATTAATTTTTAAAATACTATTTGACAAAACATAGAAAATAAACTTTGGCGTAGCAATAGTCATTTCACTGTTACTTTCAATTATGCGGGTTATACGAGAAAAATTCCCATACAGCACGATTTCCTGTAACGCGGACTTCTACAACACGTTACTCATTAATCGCGTTATACGTATAAGCTATTTCATATAAACCCCGTTGAGGCTTCTTACCCTTTTCATATCAGATGTTTGCCTCTCTTTGTATTCGTAAGTGCCTATTATTACGCGAAGGTTTTTCGTTTCATACATCTGTCAACAGCATCGAAGACTGTAAACCGGGGCGAAGAAGCAAAAGTACGGAAGGATACGGAAGATTCGGCAAGGATATTGGTAGTGGGGACGATCGGCGGGCAACGGTGCTAGGACTCGGAGGGAACGGCGAACGGCCGGTCAGTCGTGTTGTCAGAAGTGTCAGAAGGAAGTGTCGCGGCGGCACGAGCGCTCGCGAAGCAGTCAGTCGCGAAACGGAAGCGAATTGGTTCGATTCGCGCGCGCCGCGCAGTAATCTCACGCTTACAGTGCTGGTTGGCCTCGCGGTCTTCACCTGTCAGTTCGTCCAGCCTTATCTGAGAACGGTCGGCCGATGCGCCACGTGCGCGATGGGCATGATGGGAATGTTCAAGTGGCTTAGAAAGTAAGTCATTCCTTTTTATTTTCGTTTTATTTCTTTTTTATTTTATTTAAATTTACTCTTCTTTTATTATTTTTATTCTTTGTTAATTTCCTTTTTCTTGGTTTGTTGGTTCCGGTTGCGTGGCTTGCCTGTTATGTGACACGTGGTGCACTTTGAGTATAGTGTGAAGAGGTTTGCTAATGAGCGATTCGAGATATTACACGAGTGTGGTTGAAGGTTAACCAGGTTGATAGTTACTAGGGAATACTGATAATTTTTATGTGCTTTTATTTATGCAGGTCTTCGTTTGTGTGTGTGTGTGTGTGCTTAGAAAAGCTTCTAACTATGGAATTTTTTTTTTTTTTTTTTAGTGAAAATATTTATTTGGAACGTGTAGAGTTTGATATTGTTTATTTGGAAAATGGTGTTTTTGGAAATAGCGAGTTTTATTTGGTTTTATTTTTAGACTGTGACTCTGTTGTTAGTTAGTTATCGGGGAAATTATCTGTTAGTAAATTCTCTGACGTAATACTGAAACGTTTCATTTGAATATTCAAAAGCTAATTATCTAAGACTCTATTGATAAATAATTGCTTCGTTTCTTAACGCGATAATATCTCGACTTAATTTATTTTTTGAATGAAAAGTAACATAAAAAATTGTATACACGCGAAGCCAGAATATGCATATGATAACGGTGATTGTTTTTTAAATATGGTGTTTTGTGTACGTGAGTTTAAAATAAAAGTGACAGAGCTCGAAACAATCAAACGAAGAAGATAAAGAATAAAGTTTATAATAAAAATGGTTCCTCGAAACGTTCGCGGTAACGTAAGTCCTCCAACTCGACTGTTAGTATATTTACCAATTAAAGGTCGCATACTCCCGAGAAATTTCAAACTTGACAAATTTTAAATCGTACCATTATTTCTGCAAACAAACAAAACGTTTGTTTTGTTTGGTACTCCTATACCGAGTAATTAAGATGAAGATATTTTATAAACTGAAACCGATACGTTGTATATGTATACACGATACGTTGCTTGTGAGGAATAATAACATAGGTATTGCGTTCATTAATTGCTTTATTATACTAACTTATTATTATTTTATTAACCGCTCGGGCATAGGATTATATTTTTAACAATAATAATGATCAAGAATGTTACGTTATGTAGGTATTATTTTACGTGACTTCTTTTCATTACAAATTTATGCAATTTATATCGGTTCCTGTATACGACAAATATATAAAATACATCAAATCTTACATAAAAATATAGGGCTATAGGTAACTATACCTTATTTAAAATGTAAATAATCCAGAGAAAGTAATACTTTCTATAGAACAGTAGAATCCTGTGCCACGAATTTAATTACAAATAAATTCCAACATTGGAAAATTTAATTAATGATTAGATAAAAAGAAATCTCGATAAAAGAGAATTACCATAAATAATGAAATCTCTTACTATCGCGAGTAAATTTATATCTAGAGAACTATTTTACCATTTTTTAAACGATATTATAATTTTCGATACCAATGAATTTCATTGCGACACTTTCAGAATAATTACTATGTTGAAAGATGTTGCCAAAGATCGCTTTCTTTAATTACTCTGTCTCATTACAACTAAAGTTACTTGAAGAAGAAAAAAATAAGTTCGTCTCATGCTGCTTGATTGTCAGTTCCTTTTTTTCTAACGTAATCGCATGGTAAACTGATGACCTGATAAGGTTCTTGAAACCGTAATAAACCAAAGATAGAATTATTGCACGCGAGAACACGAGAGATTTGCCGTTCTCAGACGTTAAATTTTTGTGTTTCCATCTCGTCGACAAAATTTTCAAATGAAAAATCAGTGTTTGGAACACACATTCGGACACAAAACATATTTCAGACACATCGAGCCATGTTTACGACCACATTTCTGACTTTCATAAGACGCATCCACATTAAAGCGTCGAATATTAATTAGAATATTAAGTGGAATAAACCTAAGTCGAATATTAAGTGGAACGATAAGTAGACTAGGCATTCTTCGATCTATTTTATCTTTTTCGAAACACAGTGTTTTTAACAGTTTAAAAATTTTGAACAGTGGGGTCACTGGTGTTTTTTGATGGATCTTTTCATCTTCCTTTCTCTCTGAAATTTTTAATTACCTTTATTAACTTTAACCGTTTCAAATATTTCAGCAATAGGGGTCATTGATTGTTTAATTATTAATAGTAGACTGATTTATGTAACTTCGCGACGAGTCGAATATTAATTAGAATACTAAGTGAAATAAACGTACGTCGAATATTAAGTGGAATAATAAATAGACTAGACATCCTACGATCTGTCCTTTTTGAATCATAATGAGTACAACTACTAATAGAAACTTGAACAGTATGATCATTAATTTCTTAATTATTACTAATATACCGGTGTCTAGCAACTTTGTAACGAACCGGATATCAATTAGAGTATGAAATGAAATAAACCTAAATCAAATGTTAATTGAACTATACATTCCTGTCTTTTTTTCTCCCAATGATCTATTGTTTCTTTTTCTTCGCCAAATCATAGTGATTTTAATTGTTTCATAAATTTCTGCAATAGGGCCACCGATTTTTCGGTTATTAAAGATAGACTGATTTATGTAACCTCGCGAGGAGACAATGGGAATGAACGTTTGTTTAAGAAATGGAACAGTGTCGTTGAACGTAAGCATATAAAGCTCTAACTGGCGGATTGTTAATGTCACTGTTTGTTAGTACAGCGCAGACTTATGTGTTTACAAAGACTTGCTTTAAACACTTTCGAACATAATTACCGTGCAACTTTGCTGCAGTTGGTGGGAGCTAACCTCTGCTAATGCTCACTTGCTACAAGTGTAACGAGTATGTAATTTTCCGGCTCAAGCGTTTCAACGTTTCTTTTTATTCAAATGAGCGTCATAATTAATATTAATATAATTGGGGCAACCTGTACTATTAATATTATATTATATTAATATATACTAACAAATCAATTCCAATATCAATTTGCTCCCATAGGAATTATCTATTATTAATTATATTAATAATATTAAATTGAAAATCAAAAATTCATAAGGTTGGAAGAAAGGGAAATTTAAAAACATCCAACATGTATTCTACATATGCTCTCCGGTGAAACTACTCAAATAATTCCTATCGAAGCAAATTGACACGGGAAACGATTTATTGATTGCATCGTGCACAAACTATACCCAATATTTATCCGAAAATCGTGATAACCGTTCTCGATTGTTCTCGACCGTCAAATATACGTACAGTGCCGAGGAAAACAAAATCAACCTTCAAAACCAAAACAAGTTTATAGCGCAGTAAACTGTTCATTAGACGATCCCTATGTTTCGCCACTATTCCGTCGACACTTGGTCAACGATCGAATTCTGTCACCCCATACTTTCCTTGTGAGATGGAATGGATGATTTAATTTTACGGGCGATACACGAAGTGATCATCAACGTAATATCAGCGGTAATCGTGGAATGTACAAAATGTTTACAACCGAGTGTGTAAGTAAACATCGAGATTGTTTTCAATTTTAATATCTTACACATTTCACTAAACGTTGTATTTTCCTGTCAAACCCCTGTGTTTTCCAAATTCGAATTTAAAGAACGCGTTTGAAACATATTTCGAAGAAACGATAAATCGTATTTTTCGAATTTTGCACGCTATCCTACGTGTAAGAGGTTGTTCAAAAATTATTTTCAATTAAATCCTTTATTTTTAATTAAAATTAAATACCATTTGCTAAAGTTAATCGACTGAATTTTACTATCAATTAAATCTCAGTAGAAAGGTATTTTATTTTTATTTCTTTTTAAATGATTAAAAATTCTGTCAAATTATTTTTCCGAAAAATTAGTTAAAAGTTGTAATGAGTAATTTAGAAAAGTTTCTTCGCTATGAGAAATCGTTACAGCGAGTTCGAATATTCGAGTTTTTTCAAATTCGTTGTTTTCATGATTTCATTAGTAAAAGGAAAAGGGAAAAATAGGATGGTGGAAATAGTTGATAGGGACACAACGGTAACTTTTTTACTGCAAGTTCTCACTGTTATTGTCACATCGACCGAATGTGCCACAGGAAACGGTGTTCAACAAAGTGAGACATTACATTGTTCGAAACACCGGTGACAAATGAGCAACCACTTCTTTCACTGCATTATAACAATGAGTATGATAATTACGGTTACTAAACATATCACGCGTGTGATACTTATTACGATTGTTCCCGTGTACCAATCTGCGTTTGAATAAAATGGCCCGCTTTTACGTAACGTTGAATTAATTCGACGGAATGATCGCTCTTTGAGAAAAGAATCTCGACCAAAGATTTTCTATTTTATCGAAGAAACAGTTTTATCCGACCAAATTTATTTTCGAGAGAATACTTAATATTTGAGTAATATTTCCTAGATAATAAATATTCCACTATCCGCGTTAAATTTGCCCACTTCTCCGTATTCGAAAGCTCCACGTTTCGCTCTAAATACTCAAATGAAAATAAAAATTCGTAGATTCGGTAATTTTTAACGCAGAAAAATATAGAGTTCCATGTGAGATTTAAAGTATTCGTTTGAATTATATTTTTAAAGGCACGATATGAAAGGAAAGAAAAGTTCCGCGTACCTAATGATGTTTGCATATGAAAGTAATAATAGAAAGAGCTCCACTATCGTTTGGTTCGGTTTAACATCGTCTAATTGAATGCTAAATAGATCCAATTAACTATACAAATGTCAGGTACTTTCACGTGGAATCCTGGCAATTGAAACTTCCGATAAAGGTAAGTTCCACAAGAATCGCCTCGCGCTAATTCCCAAACGTTTCGCGAGAGATTCCAGGTAACATGACGAAAAAAATTCTGGAAACATGGAATTCATTTTGCTAAATAGCTTCAAGTGTTACAACACGCGCACCTGGGTCATTAGATTAATTAGAACATCTCAGATATTACTAAAGGGATTAGAGAAGATA